ATCCCATTGCACCATTCGAAAAGAGAAGGGAGTTTCTCCCGGTGTTTTGGCCAACAATTCCTCAAATAAGAATTGATCGTTCATTCCATAGCTGTTTGTGAGACGTTGCTGTGCGCAATTGTTTGCCCACATATACACAGCCACTCCAGTTAACAGTAAATCTTTCCGACGTGATAAGGGGTCGGGCTATCGTTGCAACGATTATTTTGATGATCACATCATCAAAGCGTTCACGGAGATTTTGCTGTAAATAAATTGTAGTCGCTGTATATTTGAAGGTGAGCACACCTCCCAATATTTAATTTATCCTCGTGAGGGGAGAACAGATAATCAAGCTCTCCCTGGGATGGAACTGACTCCAAGCATTTGACGGCTTCCTAATGTGCTGTGAACATTCTAATCAGAGTTAATTTTCTCCACTTACTCCAGTTCTAACAAGATACATAGATCGCTCACCTTCAACAATAATTATTTTAACAGTAAGGGTTAGATGCTAATGTTTCCAGTTGCCAGGATGCTGTCATTGTACAGAATTTGCTGCACTGGGGGTAGATCAATGATTGCTGTGAAGGTTATGGTTTCTCCCACATACTGTAGATCTTTTTTTCTCTCTGTAGCCCTCATTACTTGCACATCGAGAGGCGTCCTTTCCTGCTACAACTTTCGGACTAACCTTGAGGAGAGGACATATTGTACCAGCTGCTCTTTCAAAGGTTAGACGAAAAACAACAGCTGTCACACTGGAAAGCTAATTGCAGTGCCACTACCTGCCAGTGGATAATGTATGTGAAGTCCGTAAATTTGACGGTGTAACATGAAAGAGGTCACAACACCCCTTTTCCACATCTTAAACAGCACAAAATGAGATGCGTCAAAAAGTTCACGTCTTTGGCAGAGGAACAGGTAAGATTCCACGAGACATTGTCTAACATTTGAATCTATTTGAATCAGTGAAATTGCCAAGCGCTCTGTAAGAGTGATGATGAGGGAGTTTCTAGTCGTCTTGTTGCTTATAATTGGAAAAGGGTATTGTATATTACCCCCTCCTGACTACAGTGGAAATGGAATAACTTCCACATTTCTCAAGACAATGTTTACTTGACTTCAATCAAACTGAGATGTATTATTGTAAAGGAGGTTTGCGTAGGGAGGTGGTCTCAACAAAAGTAATTTTGAAGTTCCAATTTTGGAAAACAATTGAATATAATATAGCTGTTTAATCTACTCAGTTTCAAAAGTTCTACATTGATAAGTGTTTTGGGATTCTTACAGTTCATATAACACTTTTCACATTCCAGAGGACATTTCAAAGCATTTCACAGGATATACTTTATTGTAAAGTGCAGTGACTATATTTTGAAGCCTATAAATTATGGATGATGTGAGAATAAAAATAATTGCTTTTGTGGTGGGATTGGAAAGCAGGCTTGGTGTCTGTTAATGTTTAAACAATTTCCTAATAGTTTTTATTTTGGCAATTTGATCTCATTTGGCTATTATTCTAAAAGCTCTCGCTTATTGCACAGGATGATACGACTAGTGCAGATCACTTTGAGCAATGTCATTACCACATACATCTGTGACTTTTAATATTGCAGCCTGGTTGCACCTTTGGATGAAACCTAACATCCAGATTCAAAGTACCTACAGTGACATTGCTCCCCCCTCTCTACATTGTCCACGTTTCGCCCACAAAATACACATTCAATTCACTTTGCAGTATATTCTATGAAGCGCTTTGAGACGTCTCGGAGACATGATCAGGAGCTATATCAAATGCAAGGATTATTATTATTATTATTATTATTCCTGTCAGCTGCGTCCAGAAGCCCTCTTTTGATGGCTAGAGAGGATGGGCACAGATTTGATGCAATTTTGGCACCCATGGGATTTCACTTGCAAAAACAATTACATTGTTTATCACACAATTTCAATCGGTTGGATTTCGGCCCATTCTGCCCTGCTCCAATACGGTACTCTGCGTGAATATATAAACGCAAGTGGTTGTTGTTGCTTTTCCAATTCCATCAGTCTATTGATAGTTTTTTTTCATCGTGCTTTGGTATAATGTATCAGTGATAACTGGATCTCATGATTTCTACCAGAATAATAGGTTAATACAGTCACCGAAAATCAGCATGCTAATTTAGTGCCACGCAAAAGAGATACACATCAGGCAGTCACATTATATTTTCAGTGGATTTTGATTGTATGGGATGGAAAGGGAATTCCGATTTACAAATTTCGAATAATTTCCCTTGTTCAAGTTGACAAACAAAGTCACCCAAAAACAAGTACAAAGCTTATTTCACAAAAAATGTGAAACCATGAATTAATTGCAGAATCCCTCCAAGCAGCCGTGTAGTGTTAATATTCATAAAAAGATTATTATTTATTTAATGATAATATTTTTATATTTCTCTTTCGGTTGCTGGTTGGACCAAAGAGCTCTGAGACCCCGTCTGGCGTGAAGGGCGCTATATAAATGCAAGTTGTTGTTGTTGTGGGCACGCTTCAAGCATTTTCTGCTTTTGGTGCAGAATTTCATTATTCACAGTTTTTCTTTTTATCTGTAACAATGCCATCATTGCTCACACTCGTCTACAAATCTTATCATGCCCTGGCACCTCACTACCTATCCGACCTACTTATTCCCCACTCCAACACCCTCCGCCATGGAAGAAGTGCTGCCATGAAAGGTGTGGGCGAGGAAACGTAAGGGGAAGAATGAAGGAAGGCATAGGTTGAGTTATATTTACTTACTTATTAAGGAGAGCATATTTATTAACAGTCCCTCCGCCTCGCCCCCTCCCTTGCCTCCTTCAAGGCCTGTCTCAAGACTGTCCTCTTCAACTGTGCCTTCGGTTACCCTCCTATCCCTACCCTCCCCAACCTCTACCTCTCCTGATCCCAACCACCAGCTTGGGTGTGGATCCCTGATTGTCCAGCACCTTGAGATGTCCTCCTGACGTGAAAAGCACTATACAAATGTAATTTGGCGTTGTTGTTGTTAGCGAATAGCAAATCACCAATAAGTCCACTGTATGCCAAGGGTTCCAGTCAGATTACCTGTTCATGTGTGAGGCAGAGGTTTTGATAAGAGAGATGTTTCGATTAACAACAGCTTTCAGATATGGATAGCTCCCAGTTTAACTTCTGTGTGCTCTATGGAGCATAAAATCGAACTATTTGAAGAGTTAAACGCTGAATAAAAATCAAGCAGCAAAAGTGAAAGGGAAAATATGGCAGGTGCAATTCCTTTAACTAGATAATAATAATAATAATCCTTGCATTTGATATAGCGCTTTTCACGTCGAGAGGACGTCCCAAAGCGCTTCACAGAACACACTATAAAGTGAATTGACTGTATATTTGTGGGCGAACGCGGCAGCCAATTGCGCACAGCAATGTCCCACAAACAGTCGTAGATTGAAAATGACCAATTTATTATTGTTTTTGGTTTTGGAGGGATTATTATTAGGCTCTGTGTGGAGTAAGGAAACTTGCCCAAGGTTTCGCCCTCTGCCTGGAATTGAACTCAGGTCTCTCACTTGCAAAGCGAGTGCTCTAACCACTGAGCTACACGACTCCACAATCCTGGTAAATAACAAACACTTTTGGTTTCGCTTCTGATTATCACAGGGCTTTAAGGTCACTTGCTGTCATGTGATAGAAGTATCACTTTGACTTCCTTATCCCATACATAAAAGAGGTGATTTAATTGTAGATTCAAAATAAGCGCATACAAAGCATCTCAACTACAATCAACTGGTAAATTATATCTACTAAACTCTCAACCACCACTTTAGATACTGGAAGGATAAGATCAGACAAGCCAAAGGGCTCTCTTTATCAGTACTGATCTTGCAATCTTATCTCCTCAGAATAATAGCGAGACATTAGTAGCTGAGCAAAAAATTCTTGGATTCATACAAATTTAGTGGAGCTCATCGAGTCTGTACTGGCTCTCAGAACAAACTTTACTATCAATCCCACTGTCTTGCCTTATCCTATCCCCATGTCCCTTCAAACTTCTAACTTTCCTATACATTATCCTCTTTTAAAGAAATAAATCCACTTACTAATATTACTGTCCCCTATTTCACAAAATAAGATTCAACTGCCTGCAAAACAGCCTGCATTAAGAATGAGATAACATTTGCTGGGGAAAAAAATGATCTTTTGATCTTTAGAGTGTCTGAGATTGAAATCTTAAAAGAAGGAATTCAATAGTGTCTCAGATTCATATGTGCTAAACAGCAGTTATTCAGTGTCCCAATTGTGTGAAAAAAACCCTATTCTACCTTGTTTTAAGAGCTAGCAAATACTTCTCATCTTCCTTTCACCAACATGTGTATTTCTTCTCGCTTCAAGAACAACAACAACAAGAACGAGATTTCATTTATCGAGCGGCTTTCACGTCGGGAGGATGTCACAAGGCGCTGGACATTTGGGTCAGGACCCGAGCACGGGGGAAATGGTCAGGGTGAGGGGAGGGAAGGGAGGGAGCGAGGAGGGGGTGGAGAGTCAAGAGGGGAGCTGAAGGCACGGTCAAAGAGAAAGGTCTTGAGACGGCCCACAAATATACAGTCAATTCACTTTACAGTGTGTTCTGTGAAGCGCTTTGGGACGTCCTCCCGACGTGAAACGCGCTATATCAAATGCAAGGATTATTATTATTATTGAAGGAGGAAAGGGAGGAGGCAAGGCGAAGGCATTGAGGGATGGAGTTCCAGAGCCTCAGGGCTGAGAGGCTGAAGGCCCGGCCACCGATGGTAGGGCGGTTGGGGCGGAGGATGTGGAGCAGACCGGAGCCAGAGGAACGGAGCCAGAAGAAGCAAAATCCTTGGGAATTTAAATTTATGAAAGCTTTTTTTTTTGCCAAAGCCTCATTATTTGGTTGGTTTCACTTGGTGGGGGGTGGGGTGGGGTGGGGGTGGGAGGAAACAAAATTCCTTGCTCGGTGTTTATTCAGTAAAGTAACAGCTTTATTTGGCAGCATGGGATGTAGTCTATTCACATCACAGCTTGGCATTATGGCATTGCAGGCCTTACATGATGGGCACACACACAGTTAAATAGGATTTCCTACAAAGATACAACATACAAAATCTGTTAGAGGTTTACAAAGTGGTTTTTCTTTCTCTAAACACGGAATGACGACTTTTTTTGTTTGAATGACACAAGAACTCGCTGTTTTTAACTGGATTCCATAGCGGTAAGATGTGGTCAATAGATCGCAGGCCTGAACAGACAGACAAAAGTTTACCTAATGCTCTGCGGTGGTAGGATAGGACAAATTAAGAGCACGAAACCTGCAGAATCTTACAAAAAAAAATGCGTGAGCGCATGCCTCAGAGCAGTCGAGGTCCTTGTATGCCAAAGGAGTTCTGTCATCATTGCTTTCCGCTCATCTGCTGTTCAGTCCTTTGGATAATTAAAAGCCATTTTCCATTCCCATCTCCAACATCTCCAGAAAGAAAGAAATATTAGCTGCGTACCGCTATAAACATATCACCGTCATCTGAAAAAAACACTTTCCTTTCCTTCAGAGGTGTGTGCGGCAGTCCTCAGACTTTTTATTGAAAACTTGGAGCAATTATAATTAGTACAGCCTTGTTGAACAATGCCATTTTTCTTCATAGGTCTTTCCTTCTTTGGTCATTAGTTCCGAGTCCAGGAGGAAAAGGTGGTTGAATGCTCATCATGCTGATGTAGTATTTTTTTATTAAATTAGATTAAAAGCTTCCCTTGATGTCTGACGAGAGGAATCTAGTCTTTATGAAGTGGAAATAATTGGACTGTCTGCCAGTCGGTTTCCATCAGAAAGTAGCAATTATTAGGCAGGCAGAGGTCCATCCACAAAGGGAGCGTTTGCCTCGTCTCCTGCAAGGTACGGGTGTTTGCATCTTCTAGGCATGTGTACCCAACATCTGGGCCATGTCAGACTTAATCCCATGCTGGAGGAAACATTCATCCAACAGTGCAGCACAAAAGTACAGAGCGACAGACAACAGATGGAGATTCACAGCAGCAAAATCGTTGTTTTCTCTCTCTCTCCCTCTCTCTCTCTCTCTGAGGTAAGTGGCACACACAAAGTAAGCTGCCCAGGCGAGGAACTGCTCCTTTGATGCATTCGTCAGGAAACCTGTGAACCAACAAGAAATTGCTTGTGAGTAAATGGCGAGTCGCATTTTCCCCCCGGAGCAACGTGGCTTTTAATTTCACACCATACGTAGCCAGGGAGAAGGAGGTCACTGTCCTTTCTTGCATAAATCAAAACACAAGAACATGAGACCGAGCGTTGGAGTGGGCGTTCGCAGCTGCCAAGCACAAAGGAAATTAAGAACCGAACAATTTATCTCCATTCTGAGCATTTTCCCTCGTGATTCTCAGCATCTGTTTTATTAAGCTTTTACAGAGGTTCAAGTACTCCTGTTTAATAGAAACATGACGCAACATCACTTTAGTCCGGAGGCAATAGTGGCTCAGATGATTGCAAAATACCCCCATCAAGAGTAGACTTTAGTTTTCGCAAAATAATGGTCATGCGGTAAAAAATGTTAGTCAGAGCTTTGTGATTCGCTCACAAAATATACAGTCAAATCACTTTACAGTGTAATCTGTGAAGCGCTTTGAGACGACTTGAAGGTGTGATGAGGCACTGTACCAAATGCAAGGATTATTATTATTATTATTAACTTAATTTCAATGAGTTTTTGGTATGAATTGATTCAAAATGAAGATATTGGTAAATCATTTAAAAACATGTAATGAAATAATAACTATATCTCAATGTATAATTTTGAAATATCTCATGTATCATCTCAAAATAAAGCGTGCCTATTTTCATCATTTTTAGGGTGGAGGTTATCAATATTAGCTGTCAACCTGCTCAGTTGGTAGCACACTCGCCTCTGAGTCACAAGACAGTGTGTTTGAGGTCATATTCTGGACTTTTAATTTGCAGTCTTGGATGAGACCGAGGTTTAAACCAAGATCCTGTCTGCTTTTCAAGTGGGTGTTAAGAGATCCCATTGGCATTATTGGGAAAGAGAAGGGGGGGGTTTCTTCCAATGTCCTGGCCAACAATCTCCCAGACATAATTGATCATTTACATTATGTCTGTCTGTTGGGCTTTTGCTATATGCAAACTGGCTGCCACATTCGCCTACAAAATACATCTTCACCGCACTTCACAGTAAATCCTATGATTTGAAATGTATGATATCGAATAGGAGGATTATTCTTATTAACATGGCATTACCAAAAAAAAATTGGTGCTTAATCTCGGGAGATGAGAATTTCCTGTACTGTTTGAATTATTGCAGATCTTAATGTCTATGTCTCAATTATACTCTGGATTGCCATTATTATGAGATGAACCATCTTTGCTCCTTACCATGTGAGTGTTTTTCAATAAGGTTTTATCATCAGTACGTTAAAACTGCAATCCTTCCCATTATCTTCATGTGAGATGAACATCTTTTAAAATTGCATGAAGGTAGTTTTATATACGGATCAGAAATAGCATTGCAAATTCAAAATATCAATTCATTGTAAATATGAATTACCAATTCACGATAAACACAAAATATCCAGATAATTCATGGATTGAAATCACTGGCATTTAACAAAGTCATTAGAATCCTCCTCCCCATTTAATTGCTGCAAATATTTCTTAGTGGTTTATAATTTATTTAATTAGCGCACTCTTGGGTGGAAATTCCGCAGTTCTTACACAGAAACTTTCAGACATAAAAAATAAGGCTGCATTTAAGAATTTAACAAATTCTGGACGTTCTAAAATGCAACATTAACGCGGTAAATCTTGACCCAGGTGGAATTTCTACCCAACTGTACATACATGCTCAAATCACGTTGGTTGCCATGACATCCCTTTCCTGCTTACGGAAATCATGCATATGTAGAAATCTCAGTTCATCCACTCTATCCCCCCGCATTCACTTCATTGCTGTGTGTGGGACATTGCTGTGCGCAAACCGGCTGCCACGTTCAATTGTATAATCATTATACAATTTGCAGTAAATCCTGGAAAGCGCTTTGAGACGTTCGATTGGCGTAATAAGGCACTATTGTATTTCAAGGATTATTATCATTTCAGTTTGTTTTGGAAATTCTTAAGAACAGTGATGGGCGTTCATGTGTCAGACGCCTGGCTGACATCCAACTAACAATTTATGCTTCCAGTGCAAAGCCCACCATCATCATTCTCATTTATGTAACAAGAGGAACACAGTGAGACATCATGCACCGTATATTAATTGGGCTGCAATTATTTTCAAGCTCAGAATTTTTCTTGCAACATTGCATCTCTTGTGATGATTGTTTTGCCTACATAATATACAGTCACTACACTTTACAGTGTAACATGTGAAGTGCTTTGACATGAAAGCTGCCATATGAAATGTAAGGATTTTTTTTTGTTTTTCAAAAAGTTAAAACAATTACAGACCTGTGGGCAAACCATCTGGATATCATATGTAAAGAACCGCAGAATTTTACTGTACTGGAATAGATTTACTCAGCAGAAAATAAAACGCAGCAATTTCAAAAACAAGGTCAATGAATTCAGTTAGAAATTAGCTCCTATTAGCTCCAGTGCCTGTAACATGTTACAAATATCCCCTATTTTGGCAATTGCGGTGAACGCTCAATATCTCAGTTGAAGGAACGTTCAGACGGAAGAAAAATTCTTTTCATTTTGCCTCACATCAAAGATACATTAATTCTCTCATTTTCCCAGGGATAGATGGTCTGCATATTTCACATGTCCCATATGATACATTAATCTGATGCTCCTAATAATTCTAGTTCACTAGCGCAAACGTGTAGAGCAAAGGCATTACATTGTTTGTTTAATATTTAACCAGTAGCATAAAATAATGCTTGTTAATACCAAATAAATGAGTCCTGCCTCAATGGATGGAAAAAAATATTCAGATATGAAAAAACAATACAATTTAGCTCCCGAGTTGGTTCTTCCTTAAACTTGTCATACAACATTCAGATATGTTGTAATGAAACACGTAACACAAGGTAACAAATTATTCCTTGCAGTGAAACACATATATGCTGTAAAAAAAAATAATAATTTGGTCACTCAATCCACGACTGTTTGTGGGGCAATTCTGTGTGCAATTGGCTGCTGCGTTTCACCCATAAAATACATAGTCAATCAACTTTACAGTATATTCTGTGAAGCGCTTTGAGATGTCTTGATGACATGATAAGGCGCTATATCAAATGCAAGGATTATTATTATTATTATTATAAGTGAGTCACATGAGAATGTTTTTGCTGATTTGCCAGTGACCAGCAGTAGAATTGTATTAACTGAGATCTAAAATCACATTGTCTCCATAGCAGTTCAAGTGAAAAAAGTATTATCTGATAGAGAGTGCTTATAATTAACCTTAGGACATGACTTCTAACCTTAGGACAGTTTATTAGAAGCTTAGGTAAGAGTAAATAGCATTTAATCAATGACCAAACCACTCCACAAATAGAATTGCAATGTGTAAAAAACATCATTGCCAATTTTTAATTCCTTGGAATATCCACTCTCTGAACCACTTTAAATTGTGTACAGCATTTCATATTCACATCAAAATGTCTCATGTAAAGAATTATTGTCATTTGATGTGTAAATTACTCTTGTAAACAATCGCATTGTCTGATCTGCTCCAGTAACATTGGGCAAACAGCAATGATCAACTTGTATTTGGTGAACTCAGTGTTGCATTGAAACATCAGTCTAGATTATGACCTCAGTTCTAGGAGACTGAACCCACAACCTTCTTGAGTTACTGACTGAACTAAACTAATAATAATAATAATAATTATAATCCTTGCGTTTGATATAGCGCCTTACCACATCTTCAAGACGTCTCAAAGCGCTTCACAAAACATACTGCGAAGTGAATTGACTTTTGTGGGCGAAACGCAGCAGTGAATTTCACACAGCAGTGTCCCACAGACAGTTGTGGATTGAGTGACCAAATTATTATTTTTTTTTAAGGGATTTTTACCCCCAGAAAAGTGATCTGCCAATCGACGAACAAGCGGGTCCCTATTTACTGCAAGGGGAACAGAAGTGCGTTGAGTAAGGAAACTTGCCCAACATTTCGCACTGCCGGGAATCAAACCCAGGTCCTCTCCCTTGCAAGGCGAGTGCTCCAACCACTAAGCTACCGGACTCCGTGATACCCCTTTGATTCTCTATTGGTAACACAGAGAGATTCTAGAACGTACAGTCCAAAAAGAACCAAGGCAGAAGCTTGTAGAAATTCCTCTACAATATTAAGAGCTGACCCACGTGAGCGCTTAAACCAACCTAACTATGCTAAGAACATGCGAGAAATCTGCATTCTGAACATTCCCCCATTCATCCCATCCAACAATTCTGCGTGGAATACGAGCAGTGAATCTTCACACACCGTTTCTCCTGTCTGTGGAGCTGTCTCCTGCACAGTGTAGTCTCCGAGCTTTCTGTACCTTGTTTGCAGAAGTTCAGATCCGGGATACACCATCACTCGCTGAGTCAAGATTGTCGGTGGATGCATCAGGCTATGGGAAATCTCTGACTTGCCCAGTCATGCCTCAGTACAATTTCTCCAAGTCTTTCTGTGCTCCCAGTGACCACCAGGGTCAAATGCATGAGATATTTGTCCTTGGTGCACCCTGTTGTTATGCCACCTGATATACAAACACAAATAATAATAATAATAATTACACTTTGGTCATTAGGCCAGAACAAATCTATTGAGAAACAAATTTCTCACTTTTCATATTTCTTTACCTAAAGGAGGCCTAACAGCCAAAACATAATTTTTCTAAACTCCGATGTCACAGTTTATGGCTAGGACTCATCCCACCTCTCGTCCCACAAAAAAAATAATAAATCGGTCACTCAATCCACGACTGTTTGTGGGACACTGCTGTGCGCAATTGGCTGCTGAGTTTCGCCCACAAAATATGCAGTCAGTTTACTTTACAGTACATATTCCGTGAAGCACTTTGAGATGTCTCGAGACATGATAAGGCGCTGTATCAAATGCAAGGATTATTATTATTACTCCCTACTTGCACAATACCAGCCTGAGATGACGCATATCCTTTGTATTTATGCCCAAATCAGAAATAAGTAATAGAAAGAAAATATTTTCTTCCAAAATCTATCAATCCAACGTTTTGGTGAATAAAATTCATCTGGTTCTTTCACTGTGCTTCTGCAGATACATTTTTCATTTGAATTTTATTATACAGAAAAACTCGCATAAATCTAATCTGTATAAATCTCTCAACAGTGCTACTAAATCTGTTGTTTCAGATTTTTAGGTTGGAAGCTAATGCACGAGCAAGTTTGCAAGCTAATACATTAGAATGCAGTTATGCTAATTTAACCGGGATTTATCCCATAATTACTTTTCGACAAAATATCTAATCCTCCACATTGATTGAATATACGATTCACTCCAATCACCCACCTTGACATACCAGCAGCTAGAACCTTTATCACGCTTTATCATTACCTTTAATCTACCTTTCTGTTCATTAATAATCATTTCCTCCATTTAGGTTTTTATTATTCCGTACTGCACGAAATATAATTTATAAATTAAGTGTATATGGTAACCCTATACCGAAACATTTGCAGAATCTACGCATTCGAACCATGACTGTTTGTGGCACACTGCTGTACTCAATTTGCTGACGAGTTTTGCCCACAGAATACACAGTCATTCCACTTTACTATCTATCAAACGCTTTCAGACGTCTCAATGATATGATAAGGCGCTTCAGCAAATGCAAGGATTATTATATATTATTATTATATTCTTTGCTCAACACTTTTTCAACACAATTTTACATGGTAGAATAGCAGAATGAGAAGGACACTGTTATTGGTAGCTGAACACACAAATGGGACTGTAGTTGCTTAGAAATCATTTGGCTTTACTCTTCAAGACATCATATTCCTGCAATTAACAGAGACATTAGTTCTCACCTTTTCAGTACCTACAGAAATTGTCAGCTTCCAGTTTATCCCAATTTACAAATCAAAAACGCAGGTCATTCATTCATTTTATTTATGCCAGCACTGCTACTTGGTAAGATCTGCTCCTCCCAATAATAAGGTACATAGAGCCATTTGTCTTATAGTGCAATACTACCTGGAGTTAAGAAATAATAATAATAATCCTTGCATTTGATATAGTGCCTTATCATGTCACTGAGATGTCTCAAAGGGCTTCACAGACTATACTGTAAAGTGGATTAACTGTACTTTGGGGGCGAAAAGCAGCAGCCAATTGCGCACAGCAGTCATGGAATGAGTGACTGCTTTTGTTTGGAGGGATTATTACCTCTGGAAAGGGATCCGCCAATCGACTAACAACTGGGTTCCTATTTACTGCTAGGTAAACGGGGATGTTTCCGTGTGTAGCAAGGAAACTTGCCTAAGGTTTTGTCCCACCTGGAATCAAATCTGCGTTCTCTCGCTTGTGAGGCAAATGAGCTAACCCTTATGCTACAGGACTCCAAATCAACTATGTTGGGAAATCAACATAGCACACAGTCATTGATATAACTGAGCCTTAAGTGCTAGGCTTCCTCAGCTACAGAGACGTTTAATGCCAGTGAGCACCTATTACTCTTCATTATTGGCAATTCTTCAATGCCTCACGCTGACATTTTCTTTCAAGTGGGATTGCTGGTGTCTGCTCAGATGGGTATAATTTGTCACTCTGAAGAGAGATTGTCTAGGAATTACGATGATAACTTAATTATCTGTCATCTACAACCGCCCCAGACCACATCTGAACTAGATTTTTTAACGAGTTCTTGACTTGAAGACTTGGAGATTTGATATCACTTGACTTTATGCTTGTATATGTCGCATTCAGTGTTGACGACAACCTACGTCAGCAAGAGAGGCAAATTCACAGTTTTCTACATCTATATTTTTTCAATTGATCTGGTTCAAGTAATGGAAGATGAAAAAGGCAGGTGGCATTTCTGGAATTACTCCTCAATTCTTCGGTCTCGTGCCCCTAAATCAGTTTGATTTTTGAAAAAAGAGATGAAATGGCATATTTTCTCCCAGAATCTCATTGATTCTCAGTGGCCATTTTCTTGCACTGTTTTTATCTCAAGTTCAAAGGCTCTTATAAGAACAGGGGTCAGCTTCGGCTGTGACGTCCGAAAAAAGCAGAATCGCCTACGAACACTTACTGTGCTAAGAAAGGGCACTCGGGTCAGTGCCTTCAAAAGAGGAAGGGTGAAAACCGGAAGAGTAAAAAACTCTAAAACTTAAATAATTTGTGTAGGATTTCAGTCGGATTAGTTCCTATTTTGGTAGGCGTCATTGCTACCATCGATGTAAAATTAAAATTCCATATTTCAAATGTTTCTCCTTCTGCAAATTAAATTAGATTTGACACAATTGTAAGAAAAATGTCAGTACACATTAGTTTTCCCTGCAAACATTGCAACGGAAGAGGAATTATTTAGATGAGACAACGAAATAAACATGTTGATGATGGAACATTGTTCTATTCCTGTCAAAGTTGATGAAAGTTTCATTCCGTCAGAGTGTATATTTGTGAATTATCTGTCTATCCGTCAGAAATGATTACACATTGGGGATTATTTTGAGAATGCAGATTTATTCAGGACATGTTAACATTTGCATATCCCACTGCACTTTTCAAACAGTATTTCAGATTTGAGTTCAATTTTGACTTCAAACGATCAACATTTGGAGACGTAGAGCATCAAATTGAAATTCCCAATGTTGAAACGCTGATATCCAATAGAAACTGGAAGTAGGTGTCTGCCTATTTCCTTAAAAAAAATTGGTCACTTAATCCACCACTGTTCGTGGGACGCTGCTGTGCACAATTGGCTGCTGCATTTCGCCCACAAAATATACAGTCAATTCACTTCACAATGTCTTCAGTGAAGTGTTTGAGGCGTCTTGAAGATTTAATAAGGCACTACATCAAATGTAAGGATTATTATATTATTATTATTGCCCACCATTGAGCAATGTGACTACTGTGGTGAAGGAGCTTGGGCTGCAAATTAACATTTCAAACTGTCTTTCATTCGATCGAATGGATGTTCCACCACCAGGAAACTGCCTATCATTATCTGTGCCTGTTGTAAGAGATGCACATACCACGTAACTGTAGATCAAATGAAGGGATTTTCTACCTGTGTCCTGGCCAACAAATCCCCCTGAATAAAATTGGTGACTCACTCCATGGCTGTAATGGGGACATTGCTCTGCGCAACTGGCTGCCGCGTTTCGTCCACAAAACCACAGCCAATCCACATTATAGTATATCCTGTAAAACACTTTGAGACGTCTTGATGACTTGATAAGGCACTGCATTAAATTGAAAGAATTATTACTATTATTACCCATGTGCTCATTCGCTATCTTGCTGTGTTTCTAATCGTGGTTGATACTTATTGACCTGCTCTGAGCCTTTTACACGAGTGAAACTTACAGTGGCATTTGCAAATATTAGTATGCACACCAGAAGGAGATGCTATCATTCTTTCCGAACAACGTGAAATCTTCATCATGAAGAAATTATTCAATTTCAGGCACTTAAATGGTTTCAGTTTCTTTCATGTCTCATTGTTAAACGGCACCCCAGCCAGAGGAGCTGGATCAGGATCAGAGAGGCATTCGCCATTGGGCTGAAAATGAGAATAAAATTATTCCAACACGCTACATTTTTTGATTTTTTTAAAAATGTTAAATGAAGCCCGTTTTACATAAAAAATTTATAACTTTGTTGAGGTTATAAATATTCATTCGTTGATTTATCTGCCTATGTCCTGGGAAAGAACTTTGCAAGTGTTCATTCGAATGTTTTGAATGTTGTTAGTCGATTGGTGGACTGCTTGACAAAAAAAATAAAAGAAATTGGATCACTCAATCCACAACTGTTTGTGGGACACTGTTGTGCGCAATTGGCTGCCGCGTTTCGTCCACAAAATATACAGTCAATTCACTTAATATATTCTGTGAAGCACTTTGAGACGTCTCAACGATGTGATAAGGTGCTATATCAACTGCAAAGATTAATATTATTATAACGTTAGTTGTTATGTCCCTGCAAGTTGATGCCAAAATTAAATAAACGAATGAGACCGTATTCCTACACTCCAAATCTTTACAATAAGGTACATAGACTCTTGTTATAGTGGCCTTTATTGTAAAATTGTATTCTCAGTAATCAAGCTATTGCTTTTAGATCCCAATTTTCCTTTTATCATCTGTGGTGTTTAGAAGATTAAAGCAAAGATTGGAATCTACAAACAGCAGTATTACAGGGAGTGCATCTTTCCTTCTGCTCCTAGGTCCCTTAACCTATTCTACTTCGCACTCCCAGTATATGCCTCTGAAATGTTCTAATGTCAATATTACAGAGCTGTCTTCAGTATATTTGGTTGGTGAATTTCCTTCTGGAAATACAGTCTCAAAACTTGGTGTTTGTGGATTATACACTGGATTGTAGTATTATTAGTCTATTCAAATATTGTATTATGAGTGAACATGTATACATGTCATATCAAGGCCACATTTCAGGAAAGCACTATAATCTTCCATGCATTTGATATAGCACATTTCAAATCAGGCTGATGACTCTCAAAATGCTTCACAGGGTGTAAAATAT